GGGGGGGGGGGGGGGGGGGGGGGGCGGGCTACGAGGCGTTGTTCACAAAGTTTGTCATTTTGTATTCCTCGTCTGGGTGTGTGACAGGAGGAGTGAATAGATTTGGGGAGACTGTATACCTCCTTCCCTCTTGAGATGAGTATAGATTGTTCCCCTTGGGAAGTACATGAACTTTCTTAGGCCACTGGAATGCCTTTAATAGACTGCCGAGCTAGTAGTTCTGAGGCTACCTAAAGAAGAGGAAGCTGGTGTTTCTTTTTTCCTAAGTTCACAGCAAAACTTTGAAAGATTCCGCAAACAATAAGCTATAAGAAAAGGACAAACTTGGCTGGAGAAGAAATCATCGTTCCTTCTGCATTTGCATACCTTCAGAATCTAAGCAGTAAATTAGATTATTAAGTAAAAGATGTGGTTTGAAAGCAAACTGGAGAGAGAGATGACAGCAAATTGAATGCCTTTTTTTTCCCCCTTGTCGGTACCCTCCCTTTGCTACAGGTTGTGTATTTACAAGAACCACAGAAAGCCCGATAGATTTTACATCTTTCATACCTCATTAAATATTGTAACTGGCATGGTAAAAAGAAAGTAAAGAATAGGAAAATTTGAGAAAGTATATGAAGGAGAAAGTGGTTTTACTTTCTCTTTTGCTGCTATGTTTGATCCACAACCCCCGTCAGATGTCACTCCTTTGTAGTGTCTCATTGCTATTCCTGATATGGCTGTGCTGTGTTTTCACTCACATTTTGTAGTCTTACTTTTTCTTTTGGACTATCTGGAGGGAAAAGTCTAGTATTTCTCACTTGGCTTATCTTTATTTGGACTACATTATTTTCTTTTCTGTCTTTCTCAAGACTTTTACCCCGAGGAAAAAAATCGTCAGAAAACTTTCATATTCACTTGACAAATCAGAGATTCCCACAAAAATCACATTAAGGGAGAAACAAATTCCAGTACTTGACTGACCTAAACAAAGTAAGGAAAGAATATAGTTGAGACAACAGGGAGGAAAAGGTTTTGGCAGGAGAGGCATTTTTTTGTTTACATAATGAAGTTCCTGCTATTTTCATGGGTTTCTCTCATCACAGGACTCTCCTTTCTTGCCTACTAATGCAGGAGACATTAATCCCCACAACCACCATACCCGTAGTGCTTGCAAAATTGAGTAACCACTTTGTATGTCCAATTCTACTGCCACTCATTACCTTATTTAAAACTCTGATGTTTCCCAAACTCTATACCAAGTCATGGAATCTGTGGAGACAGGATCTTGAATAGAACAATCTGCTCCTATTTCCACATTCAACATGCTCTAATGGGCAGCCTAGCCCTCCTCACCAGGATTCTTTAGTCCTATTGTTAATTGGAAAAGAGAAAAAAAAATACATTCTGCAAATTTTCTGCTGTCTATCCTGCTCTCCTGACTTCCTCCTACCTTATATCTTTCCCACACTTTCCTTTTAAATATTATCTCCTAACCGCTCTACACAACTTCAAAGTTAAAGTTTCTTTCAGCAAGAGTTCCTTTTCTTATTTCTTATTTTCCCCCCAGAATTTAATCCAAGACTCTGTTCTACTTGCCCCACATCTTCTTTCTTCTCACAAGTTACTTCTTACTCCTGCTTCCACTGCAGAGCTTCCAGCACTATTTCTGAAACCCCATCATCTTGAAATTCCGGTATCTTCAGTTTTCTTAATGGTCAGAAATGCCAACCCCCATTTTCGTAGAGCCATAATTTGCCTCCTTACCCTCTCTGCCACTGCCACTCACACTGATAGACTCCCTTGCCATCTACTCAGAGGATTCTCTGTGGAAGTTTGGAGGGAGACGAAGATGGTGGAATGGTTGCAATTCCCCCCACTGGGATCTCTCTGGCATCCTGAACTCTGACTTCAAGTACGAACTTTGAGTGCCTTATGAGATAAACCTTTATAGATTTGCCTAAGAATAATTCAACTATCTAAAATACTGTTTCACAGAGAAATGCATCCTATTATGTCTTCTAAATAAAGACATTATAAGAAATCTTTTAGAACAGTTAACAAGAGACTACCGATAGCAAAATCAAAAACAAATGTAAATGATTGATGTGATTATCTTCTATGTTATATATTCCGTTTACCACTGCCACTGAAAAATCTGAATATGAAACATAATAGAAATATAGAAGAGATTTTGCTTTTTCAGACATAAAATAAAAAAACCTTTTCTTTTCTTTTTCTGTTTTGGAACCATGCCTTTATCTCTACTCATAATAGCATTATCTGTTTCACATGCTAAGATCTATTTTTAATGAAGAAAACAGTAAAGCAATTATAATTGCAAATTGTAAATAAAACATTTATTCTAATTGGCATTTAAATACAAATAAGTATGCAATTTCAAGATACAATTAAATATAATAAGAACAGTACATTATGAAATACGAATGACATATACACCCATGAGTAAAATTTGCATATTTTAAGATAGCATTTTAACCATTTATGATTGATATAATTTCTATTTATAATTAAATATGCTCTTTAAAATATCAACACTAGTAAAAGTGGCATAATCAAACAGGCTTTTAGGTTGTACATTAATGAAATCAACTTGTGAAAATTTGAATTTGGAATAAAAACCTCACCTAAGTTAATGTAACATACATAGCATGCATGCACCTGTTTACAACATATTACTGGAAACCATTATGTGGTAATGAATGGGTAAGCAATTCATTCAAGAATAAGCTATTCTGTATGAAGCATATATAATGACAGTAGCATATTGAAACTTGCCAGGGGCCAGCCCCAGCACTGAGATTGTAAGGTCCCCGCTGCTAAGGAACCTCCAAAAGGGAGGAAAGGCAGCGTCGGTGATGGATGGACAGCAAACACACAGACTCAAGGGATCTGCTGAATGCTGACACTTTATTGAAGCATGCACAGATCTTTTATACCTTTTTTCTTAGTTGTAACATACTCATAGAACAAATCATTGAACAATATCATAACACTTTATGAATAACATGTGTTCCCAGGAAGAATAACATTACAAATTGTTCCTGGAAAAAATAACAATGTAACATTTACAAAAAACCCACTAATCCCAGATAATCATCAACATTACAATATATTCCCAGAAAGGATGACTATACTATTTTTTTCCTTATTTACAAAAACGTTACAACCCATCGGCCCCAAATAATCATCAATTGTACTATTTAACTTAGCTAAATCTACAGTACATTATACTCTGTATGACGTTATTAAAACGTGATTCAAACTTACAACTACATTTAACTTTTCTTTGTTCCTAATAAACACTCTAAACTTTAAACTGTTTAAAACTTAACTTCTAATTATATTGTTAATCAAAAAGGAATGTGCATTAACTCCTTCAAAGCAACCAGGCCAAACTTTCAAGCAACAAATGAAACCAATATCTATATAGGTTCGTTGTCCCCTTCTGGTCCCAGCTGCCACAAACCATCTCCAGAGACCCCAAAAGTATCATTAAATTCTTTAGTATAATTTTTAATCCCACTCCCAAGTCTCCCAGAGTGATAATTATGAGGCAGTAAGGAATAAAATATAATAAAGCAAAGCAAGCACACAGAGCTCCAGAAAGTGAGGGTGGAACGGCAGCATCTTCTCCCACGATGAGGCCATGCAAACATTGTCCCACGATGAGACCCTGCAAACATCACGTTGTATTAAAAGATCTTTATCAGACTTTAGTCTTTTGGATACGATGCGCCCCCGCAGAAACTGATTTTTATCTAAGCATACCTGGGACTTGAAAAGCCATACTTTCATAATAGGGATAAGAAATGCCACATGTATATATTCCTTGGCATGAGGCATCCATATTTCCTATACCAAATGTTAATGATATGACCATGCAAAGGAGTATGACATAACATAGGTGAATTTCTAGCAGTGCTCAGCTGTTCCCTTGAGTAACAAAGCAAATGTAAATGCTCAGTGCTCTTCCCCCTCTCCATTTCTCTCTGTTTTTGTCTCTCTCTCTGTCTCTGTCTTTGTCTCTGTCTCTGTCTCTATCTCTGTCTCAGGGAATGCTCCACTTTTTCTTAGCAGCCAGATTGGGATTTCCCAGTAGGCATTTAATCAGGCATTTAATTAATGTCCTAATCTTCTACTGTTGAAGTTAGAAGAAAAGAGAATTTTCAGCAACATTCATTTTTTGTTTTAGTTTTGGCTCAGTGCTGGACTGGTATTACGACAATAAACAAGCACAGTCCCTGCTGTCGTGGAGCTTACAGTTTAGTGGTGCTTCAGGTACTTAAACAGCCAGTGGCAAAGCAGTATGATAAATACCACGACCGATGGAAGAATTTTGTGCCAGGGGAAGAGGCATCCAACCAAGATGGGGGTGGGAGCCAGAGGTCAAGTGAGACTTCCCAGAGTTATAAGAGCAAAACCAAACAAAATTATATGAATTAATTAAAGTATTCAAACTGTAAGAACAAGGAGTCATTTTCTGTCTCACCTATCCATTTATTTCTTTATCTGTTTTTCTAGTTTCAACCTGTGCCACTGTTGAGTTCCGCTGTGCAGATGGGACTTGCATTCCAAGATCAGCACGATGCAACCAGAACATAGACTGCGCAGATGCTTCAGATGAAAAGAACTGCAGTAAGATATTCCTCTGCCTTTTGTTTGTTCATGCCTGGGCACCTTTGGCATTATATTGAACACTGTCCAACTTTTTACTGAACGTTATCCAGAATTGATGTGTAATTAACCCCTGTTGTGTAGGATAATTGCATATTTACTTCTTCAGATGAAGTTGACTTTTCTTGTCTGTATGACCTACACAGAAGGCTCATAATCTCTGCAAATGAGGCATTTTTCATTTTTCTGTTTACCTCCTTCTAGACAATACAGACTGCACACATTTCTATAAACTTGGAGTGAAAACCACAGGGTTCATAAAATGTAATTCTACCTCACTGTGTGTCCTGCCAACCTGGATATGTGATGGGTCTAACGACTGTGGAGACTATTCAGATGAAATAAAGTGCCCAGGTAATTCTAGGAAGAAAAATGGGTTTTGCCTTGAAGACTTAGAGGCTAGCTAGTTATATAGAATAAATTTGTTAATGTCCATTCTTAATATTCAATGATTGAGACTAAAATTTAAATGATGTAGATTAAAAACTAATTATCCTGTTCTAAACATGCCTCTTGATCTTTTTAAATGAGATTTAAAATGATACTCAAGAAATCTGTCCTAAATTTGGATCAATTTCCTTTTTCATGTTCAGTTCACCATTAATGCTTTTAAAATTGGTAATTAAGTGTTTAAAATGTGTAGTTTATAAAGCTTCAAAGTAGTGTTACATACCTAGAAATAACTATTCATAGACTAAAAGGAGAGAGACTATGTTTCTCACTCCTGTTTTTGCTCAATGTTAGTTTGCAGCTGATGTTTTCGTTTTAAGCTGTTTGATGCAGTTTACATAATCTTCTGGCATAGCAGTTTGAGTAATAGTTATTATCATTTTGGATCAAGGCCAGACATGACTTTTTATATCTAATTGTTAATTATCTTAACCTACTTAAGTTCTGAAAAGTGTCGTCTGCTTTCTTAGAAGAATCTTTCTGTGAAACGGGCAAGACTTCCTTCCTACTTGAGGGCAATGAAATAAAAAAATAATTCAGAAAAGTATTAGCTGCATATAAGTGAAAGTAGATATGCTGTATAAGACACTATTAAATTTGGTCTCATACTGCTGTATGCCTCTCCCCACCCTGCTGCTACACTCACTTTTTCCATGTTTAGTTCACATGCAATAATTTTTTGAAATATTTTAAGAAATAATATTTATTGGTATTTTGCACATCAGTTTACATATACATACACAATCTACAATAAAAAACTGATTTTTTTTTTTTTTGGTGACCGGTAAGAGGATTGCAACTCTTGGCACAGTGTGGTCTGCACCACGCTCAGCCAGTGAGTGCACCTGCCATCCCTATATAGAATCTGAACACACGGCCTCGGCAGTACCAGTGCCGCACTCTCCCGAGTGAGCCACAGGGCTGGCCCAAAAAACAGATATTCTTAATAGTTCATAATCTATCACTTAATTGGGCAATAGCAGATTCCATTTATTTCTGCTCAACAATGTGTAACCTTCTATGATATCATTTTTGTTCCTTCTAGGTTTGAAAAGGCTAGTTGGGTCCTCAGAGGAAGTGGAGAACATCTCTAGAGGCACTTGACTGTAGCTCACTGCAGATCTTTTACATTTAGACAAATTTTGGTTTACTGTATTTTTAATAATAGAAAATATTTTTAAAGAAATAGAGAAACATTGTTTTAGACTCATGGAACCTGAGTGTCAAAATTTTTAATCTGATCTTCTTTCATTTTTTTATTTTATTTTTGTGACCGGTAAGGGGATCGTAACCCTTGGCTTGGTGTCATCTGCACCGCTCAGCCAGTGAGAGCACCGGCCATCCCTATATAGAATCTGAACCCACAGCCTTGGTGCTTCCAGCACCACTGCGCTCCCAGCGCCGCACTGTCCTGAGTGAGCCATGGGGTCGGCCTGATCTGATGTTCTTTTAGCAACAACTTTCTTCACCACATTGTGACTGCAGTTAAATTTTAGAATTATTACAAAAGCAGCACATAGTAGATATTCAATAAACCAATATTTTATTTCCATTTTTGTGGTTTTTATTTCTTTCTAGTATTAATAAATTATTTTAAAAATTAAGTTTTAACACTAATAGAGAATTGTGATTTTTATATTGCGTAAGAGAAAAAGGGATACTCATGAAGGTTTATGAGATGGGTGGACCGACAGGCAACAAGGCAGCAATGAGTCAATCTCAGTACTTCAGATTAGATCTAAGCAACATCTTGAGAAGAATTTAAACATAAAGCACACTCAAAACTTTTTGGTTTAATGGCAAATTCAGTCAAAAAATGTATTTTTATCTTTAATTAGATCTACAAAGTTGATATTTAAAAAAATAAAATAAGGATAACTTTTATTTTGAATCAGACATAATGGACAATTATAGTGTGATTGACATATGCTCATGTACTCTAGGGTTCACTTTCTGATTGGCCATGGGCCAGTTATTATAAAATTATTTAAACCTGAAGGCAGGGGCCAGCCCGGTGGCACACTGCTACAGTGCGCCGCTTGGGAGTGCGGCGGTGCTCCTGCCGAGGGTTCGGATCCCACATACAGACCAGCCGCTCAATGGCTGAGCGAGGTGCGGGGGCAACACCGAGGGTTGCGATCCCACTGCCGGTCCTGGTCCGGTACGGGTGCGACACTGAGGGTTGCGATCCGTTGCCGGTCACGAAAAAAGACAAAAAGGAAAAAAAATAAAAAAACCTGAAGGTACAAGGAGAGAGAAGACATCCAGTAAAAGGAAAAATCCAGTATTTTATTTGTACTTTTGGAAATTATAATAATCATAATACTCCATTATTTAAAAAATACATAATTTACAAAATAAATAATTTTTACACGTAGACACTTTTTATTTTCATATTTCTGCAATGTGTAGTAATTTATAGATTCATTGTAACTTGTTTTTCTGTTTAAAAATAAAAAAAATAATTGTTTAAATTCTGTCAAAGCATACTCAAAATAAAGGGCAGTATAAACACTAAATCCATACTTTTTTGGCAAAGATCCACCAGTGTTTTAATTTTGGTATTTATTTTTTGTTATGAACATGGAATTAAAAATATTTTTTAGCCAAATATGATTTTTTGTCATTAGACTCATTCACTTTAGTTATCCTACTTTATTTTATTTTTATTAACTAAACTCCACACTATTGTGATTTATCCAGTATTTCTACTAGTGTCCTCTTTCTGATCCAGGACCCAGTCCTTGATTTGATCTGGCCATCATGTCTCCCTGGTCTTCTCTGGTCTGTGACAGTTTCTTAATCTCTTCTTGGTTTTCATGACGTTGATATTCTTGAGGAGAACATCTCAACTATTTTTTTTTTAAGTTTGCTTATAATTTATCTCTTCCAGTCAAGGAGTATTAATGTTTTATCTACCTCTATTACAGAAGCTCAAGATTAATTTAAATTATTTGACATTACATTCTGTATTTTGCCACAGTTCAAAACAAACACAAATGTGAAGAAAATTATTTTGGTTGTCCTAGTGGAAGATGCATTTTGAATACCTGGATATGCGATGGTCAGAAAGATTGTGAGGACGGACTTGATGAATTCCACTGTGGTGAGGCATTTTCTTTTGTTTTAGCTGTATAAACATATTATTATTTATATGCTGATATTCTCTTACCTAGAAATGTTATACAAAATATTGCTAATTGGATTTATCATCAATTTTCATTTTTAATAAACAATACAAAATTGCAAAAACCACAGTAAAACAGAAGAGTTTATAATAAAGAATAACAATTTCTTCTCAACCTTTTTTTAAAATCCCTTTCTATGTTTGTTGAGTGTTTACCTCCATCAATCTAAATGATACACCTTTATTTCCTGATTTATGAACTTTCAGTGTTATCTAATATATTTACTTTCTGCTATGAAAAATGAGGATTTGACACTCACTACTTATTATACTACCCCTACCTATTATTAACAGTTATATTATTATTCTAAAATGTTCTATTAATTACATGGCTAGCTTTAAATGACATAGTTAAATTTCTACTTCTTCAAATTCTTGTTCCTCACCCTCTACCTCCTAATTTCTGTGTTTGTACATTTCATTTCACATTGTCAAAGCAAGAAAGCATTTTAAAATTTATTTTATAAAATTTATAGATTTTTGTGACTTGCAGGCCAAAGGAATTTCCTATAGGAGAACAAAGCATATATTCACAATTTAACTTTAACACAAATAAAGTATACTGTGGTGAACAGACAGAATAGAAAAAAGATTAAAAATGGATCTTCTGTGAAATGTCAAACTCTTCTAAAAGTAAATGTCATTGTGAAATGTGAAGGTGCATTTTGTTTGATTAAGATGTGATATATCTCCATAGTAGAGCTAGATTCTGAACGAGACTAACAGATTACTTCAAAAGTATGTAAGGTTGATGCATATTTTCTGAACAAAATTTCTGATTTTATCTACTTTAAGTTTATTTCAGGCTTCAGTTTTCTAAATTTCGTGCTATTTATAGGTCATCTAATTAAACATTTTAAATAAAAATGCAAACTTTTAAAAATAGTTTATAGGATCAAAGCCAAAATTGTTATTGATATATTGAACATTTCAATTTGGGAGGATGTTATTTTAGGGTGTTTCCTGGTGAAAAATATTCTGGGTCATGGCAGAGGCTGGGGCTGGAAGAGAGCAATAACAAAATCAGCATTGGAAAGAAATGGATATGCTATTATTATAAACACATGATCTGGTAATAAAAATAGTAACCACTACGCCAATGAATTTGGATGTTATCAGGTATAACAAACTCAAGTGTTTCCAAGGGAGTGACACAAAAACATCAAGATTGTTAGGTTTGTGTAGGTACCAAACTGTTGTCTTGTCATCCAGCTAAAACCTCCTCAGTCACGTCATTTTTAAAAACAAATGTATTTGCTTTGGTAATGGTCAGTCCACCATATTGTTGCCTTGCTTAGGATTTAATATTTTTCACTTTTAGTTCAAAAATAGATTAAAAATTAAAAAGAATGACTAGATAACATCTGGAACATTTATCTTATATCTGTGCACCATACATTTTTTTTAAAAATGACAGAAGAATATACTTAGAGGAGAGTGGACAGCAGAATGACCATCTCAAGGGCAAACCCTTCAAGAATCATGTTAAAGGAACAAAAGCTGCATAACTTGGAAGACAGAGGGAGTATGAAAGCTTTTGTCAAAATTTTAAAAAATTATCATAGAGAAAAGGAATTTGACTTGTTTTATTGTAAGATGGTCGATTTTTAGTGAAGTCAAAAGAACTTTCTCCTCGTGAAACGTGTCCTAAGATAGTCTCAACTGATTTTTTTCTTCTGTATCTAAAACGAAAATTCTTGTTTGTTTTCTAGATTCTTCTTGCTCTTGGAACCAATTTGCTTGTTCTGCACAAAAATGCATTTCTAAACACTGGATTTGTGATGGAGAAGATGATTGTGGGGATGGATTAGATGAAAGTGATAGCATTTGTGGTGAGTTGTTGCTTTTGTGTTCTTAATTATTAAGTACTATATATACTCTATTATTTTAGAGCACACACAAAACTTTGTTTTTTAATTTATTAACCATAATGTTGTTTATATATACATTTTTTTTTTGTCTTTTTTCGTGTCCGGCAATGGATCGCAACCCTCAGTGTCGCGCCCGTACCGGACTGGGACCGGCAACGGGATCGCAACCCTCGGTGCTGCACCCGCACCTCGCTCAGCCAGTGAGCGGGAACCGGTCTGTATGTGGGATCCGAACCCTCGGCGGGAGCGCCACCGTGCTCCCAAGCGGCGCACTATAGCAGTGCGCCACCGGGCCGGCCCCTATATATACATTTTATGTAGCTGTTTTTATTATCTTTGTGTCAACCTACTATTTTACTAATTTATATATACAGTTGTTAATCAATATTTAAGATTTTTCCTGAATATTGACATATGAATGTATTTTTTCATTTTGTTTCTAGTTTTCAATGACTTCTTTGGAGTAAATCTCAGTGACTGAGATTACTGGGTCAAATGAGCAAACAATTTTTTCATTACTCTCAATATGTATTGCAGTTTCCCTCGAAAATTAGTATACCAATTTATATTGCCACAATATTCACACATACTGTTTGTGTGTAAGAGTGTGTGTGTAATATAGTGATCATTATTACTGAATTGTTTTAAATGAGAAGTAAAGGAAGGTACTTTAAAATGCACTTTAAAATTTAGCTTTATAGGATTAGAGGTAGTAGTATCAAATGTCTATATTTACCTATTATATGTCAACTACAAAGCCAGAATAATTGCTTTCTAACAATCACAAACATTTAATAAATAGGTTAAATGTAGTTATTACCTGAATTTCCTAAGGATTAAAAGAGGGAGACAAGCAAATTTCCATAAATTTATTACAACTGAATAGTAGTTTTACTAATTTATTTATATGTCTATTTATCTATCCAATCTGTTTCTATATGTGTATTTGTATCTATAGCTATATATCCTCTACGCATTGTATCACCCCTGTTTGGTGGCTGTTATAATCCTCATTTTAGAGAGAGAAGGACCCTAGACAGAATAAGGTACATGTATAGAGTTAAGTATACTCAGCATCTCTTCTAAATTTGAGGGGTTGTTGCCTGCTATTTAAGTCACTACCATAGAGACAAAGGTAACATTTTATAGTACTCATGCTAAACTGAAGTTCTCTGTAAATAATATAAAATTGGAGATACCCTCTGAAAGCAGGCAATTTATTTTCTTGTATTTAATTAATTTAATTTAATTTAATTAATTTAATTTAATTAAAATCTACTTTTTATTTACACAGCTGAAACAATTTATTATTAAATATAAATATAGAAAAAACACTATTAAACATCTGTGGAAGTGGGGGAAAAAAAGCCTATTAAATGACTGGCCAGTCTCTTTATCTACTTTGTTTCTCTTTGTTATTAAATCTGTCTTTACTTTTAACAAAAAAAGTATCTATTTACAATGATATAAGTATGCTTCTAGTCTCTAAAATCATCTTTCTTTTGGCCTTTTGTTTGGCCCCCACTAAATGGTTCCAATGATAACTCTGTGCTTTCTGAGTGGTCACAGTATGATAGAAGGGACGAAGGCTCTAAAGTCATATGAGTTGAGTTCTGCCACATCACCTTTTCAAGCTCTGTGATCATGGGCAGTTTCATTATATTCCTTATTTCTTGGGTTCATTACCTGTTAGAGGGATAACTACTGTGATCATATAACAGAACCACTGTGCACTATATCCATGAGTTTATTCTCATTTTTATTTTATTTCTCCTGCCTCCCTCCTTCTTTCAAAGTGTTACTGTCATGTCTGTATGTATCAGTGTCCTGACAATGCTTCTTAAAAAATGATTAAAATGGTAATGGGCATGTTTACCTTTTATCAAAAGACTGAGTCTATTTAGTTTAATTTGAGGCTCTATTTTATATACTAACTACCAAGCTGGTGGCACATTAAAAAATATTGTTTTAGACCAAACAGCAGTCAATGAACTGAACCTAATATTTAGAATGGGAAAGGAACCTTACAATTTATCTCAGTGGTTTTCAACCTTTAGTGTACAAAAGATCCTTCTCAGAAGTCTGTTAACAGTGTAGTTTCTCAGTCCCCACCTCCAAATAATTCTATGTGGGGTATAAACACACTCTTTCTTCATAAGCACATAGTGATTCTGACTTGGGATATTGAAGATCTTATTTTGAAAACCATAGTCTATTCCACTTTCATTTTTTGAGGAACGGAAGAAAATGGAAACTCGTAGAGATTAATGAATTTACCTGAAGCCACTCAGCTAAAATTGATGACAGAGGTAGGACCAGAATTCAGGTTTCCAAAATACTAAATAAGATAGTGGCTCTTACCAATCAAATATTATTATCTGAGTAGGTGCACAGGATGGATCTAGTGGAACTCCATCAGTTTGTCTTCCTTCTTCCTTTGAATTCTTTTGCCTTAGGAGGGCAATGTGACTCCAGATGGCAGGGGTACCTGTGGAATAAAGCTCTGAGTTTTTTCTTTGGCCCATTTTCTTCCCAATTTACTATGATGTTTTGGCATGTTCTTAACATAGAATCTGTTGAACACTATCAAGGGAGCAAGAAAATTAGCAGCAAAGAGCCTCATGCCATTCTTATAGCTGGAGATATCTTATTAATTATCTAGTCATACCCCTCATGGTAGAGATAGGGACATTTAGACAGTAGTCTTCTCCAAGGTCATACAGAATTAGATCTCTCCACTGCCAAATCAGGACTTTTTCTACTGTATCTACCTTGAGAACAAATTGGAGTGACCATATGGGAATAGACAAGGAGTTTAAATTTAACAAAACTTCTTTAGTAGAAGGAATAAGATTTTTTAAAAATCTCAAGCTAAATAATAAAAATATTACAGAAATTCAGACACTGAATTGAGAATATAGTACTGAAAATGACTCTTTGTATTCTTATGGCAAGCTTGAAAAGACAGATAATAAAGAGAAATAATAGAAAAACAAGTTCTGCAGGAAAAGAATTTTATTACATAAAGTGCTAAAGAAATAATAGTTGGCAAATAAATTCATTTTTAATGAATAAAAACATTTATGCAATAGATTACTTTGGTATTTCTTCCAGTAGTAGATAGCATTCAATTAAGGCACTGATCCTCAATTAAATGAGCAAATCTGAATTACCTGGGGGACTTTTCAATATCTACTTGCCATTCTGTCCTAAAGGATAAGGTATACATCAGGGGCAGCCATGTTTATGTTGGAAAAGATACCCAGGGGATATTATTTTGGCACCCCACTGCATCCCATATTGAAAACGTTGCATTGAAAAGCATTTTCTGCTCATAACAACTCTATGGCTGAAAAGTAAGAATATAATGATAATCCAATTAGAGCACATCGGTTACTGCTTTAAATGGTTGGAAACAAATATCTTCCATCAATCTAGTATCATATTTTCTTCCTCGAAAAATATTTTTAATAATTTAAAAATATGGTTTTTATCATCTATTCTGGGCAGCTTTTGGTCATAAGAAAGTGAAATTAAAAAAAAAAAAAGATTGAGGGACACGTTCCTGATTCACTCAACAAGTACATAGCAAATAAACCCAGCGTTCAATATATATAACTGTGCAAGGGGCTAAAGAAACATGATAGGGTCATTTGACATGTGACTGTGCTATGCTTATGTAAGAAGAAAAGGGAAACCACCCTATGATTCTTTGAATTTACAGTCAAAGTCAATGAGCGTTTTGTTTCTTTATACATTTGAAAAACATCATCAGGCAACTAAAGGGACATTGAAATGACAGAGCAGAGAAAATGTATATTCCGTTTAATAAGTGCGTAAAAGCAAAGTTAACATGCCTACATTTGTTTTTTTCAGCCACACAGGATGAGGAGTAACAATAATGACATTAGTGGTTAAGAGAAAGTGCTTAGGAATCAGAAGGGTTCTGGACTCCCAACTCAGTGTGTGGAACCATGTGCAATTGTGACTTTCTGCAAGCTATTCAACATCTCTGAGCCTCAATTTCCTTTTCTTTGAAATGAGACTAATAATAGTTATACTGGGTGGGGTTATTGCAAGGATTAATTGAGTAAATACGCTAAGTGCTTGGCACATATTAAGCAAAATGAAATTGTTATTATTACTATTATTACTATTTTCCTTGTAGGTTCAGTCCTTTCAAAATGTTATCTCAGTTTATTCATGATTCTATCGCATTTCTACATTTTACTGTATTTTACAACGAGAAAAGACATTATTTTCTACCACATAGCCTTAAGAAATATAACACATACAATTAGGAAAGAATGCATTCTTATACAAAAACATGTAGATATCTATAGTGGAAGGATAATGTTTTATGATCTGAAGTAATTATAGTCTCTTCTTTGTAAGCAATGCTCTTGTTCCGCCCCTTCTTTCTATAGGAAATGTAAATGGTAGACATTTTCCAGCAGAAACACAGTGGTCTGAATGGCATTTTTTCTTTGGGTTTCAGGTGCTGTGACCTGTGCAGCTGACATGTTCAGCTGCCAGGGCTCCCACGCCTGTGTGCCCCGGCACTGGCTGTGTGATGGTGAAAGGGACTGTCCAGATGGAAGCGATGAGCTTTCCACAGCAGGCTGCGGTATGAATGCTTGCTGGGGCTGCGTGTCAGAGAAAACTGCTGCAGCATCCATGGATGTTTGTTTTTGTAGCACTCACCACACCACATTTTCCTTCACGTTCCCGATCCCTGACCCATAGGTAGCATTAGACTTCATCAGGTGGGATATTGTTATCATAGTAGTACAGCAACCCCTCTGACCAGTGTTCTGAGTGTTTCAAACATGCATGGTGGCCTTACCCATTTTAAAACCATTTTGATGAATACAGATTTATCATTTCACTTCTGAGATCACAGAACTACACTATGTGCATGTGAATGTGGTAGGTTTAGTGTTTTCTTTTTACTGTTGCGGCCCCCAACCCCACCCCACTACCATGAAGACTTTTAGATTGCCTATTCCAGATACTGTGTAAATGGCTTCTCTGATCCTAAGTAACTACTGATCAGGAGGTCAGTAAACACCTATTAGTCCTACAGATAGGGTATTAACCCTTAGGTCAGGTAAAAATAGTATGGATATAGCTGAATGAAACTGAGGGATCAGAGGAACACCTTTGGAGGTCAGACAATTTACTAAGTGTCTGACTCTAGGTCCCCTTAGAATACTTTCAGGGAATTACTCAACAGTAAAAATGTAGATAAATTCCTTTGCATGATCAGGAGGATGAAGAAACAGGATATTTGAATGTTGATCCCAAGGTCACACAGGGGATCTTTTTAGCTGAGCAATTTATCAGAAATAGTGCTATGAACTCTGCTCATTAAAGTGAATTCTGCCAATCATCTCTCCAAGGACCTGTCTTCATGTCTTTAAAATATTATATTTGAAGCCATACTGTAAGTGTGTACATATGGGGGTGTGTATACATGAAAGGTAGTTAAAGTAGAAAAGAAAAAAGAAAACTTTGAGGCAAACCTATTTGCACAGAACTCAAACTATTGTTGTAGAATAATTCACTTTGATCTTGAAACTGATATGTGTGTCTGTAAAGGTCAATGAGGCCACTGAGGGCTACATAATAAAGGATTATGCATCAGTTCCGGGATCCAGATGGTCCCAGTATGCTGTTGCTATTGTAGCAAGTTAACACTCTGGGAGGCATATTAACACTTTTGGACCACATGGGTACTATTAAGGAAATTATGCTAAAATGTAGCAAATTGTACTCAAGTGACCTGAAAGCGTTAACGCCAAATGAGTCACTGTTGCTCTGTGTTTTAAAGACTAATTCATGTATTAGAATTGGCATAATTCATTTGAGTTATGCAAGCTGTCACACAGTTCAAAGTTAGAGGAGTTATTAGTGACTCTGAGTTTTACTTTGATTATAATAGGCTATTTTTAATGCTGCTCCTGTGTGGCTTCCATACAGTTATTAAAAATAAATTTGTTGAAAATAAATTATACTTGATTAAATTCAAAGAACTTTTTTGTTTTACCTACACATTGTTCTGTGTTAGTAATTACTGAGATGAAAGCAGAGATTATCCTTGGTTCACGAAGTCAGGGATGGTCTGGGGGCAGGGGACTGATAGGCATGTGAAGTAATACTATAGTACTTTAAGTGTTAGGATGATGTATATAAAAGATACTAGGTCATCACAAAAAAATATTAAGTGAAAAACTAGATGCCTCATGGAAGGGTTTTTGAAAAAGTGGTAACGTTTTCTGAGTCTTGAGGAGCAAGAGAAGACACAGGTTTCCATGGGCAGGAAAGTGCTTATCAGTGGAGGGAAGACATCTAAAATTTTTGAAGTGCTCATTGTAAGTCAATTATTGCAATAGGTGCATTATTTATATTATTGAATCCCCACAATATCGCAGTGAAGTGTTTTGGAGGATCTGCCAAAATAATTATTATATAGCTAAGAATTTAAAGAGCATCTGGGAATTCATTGAAAAACTAAAACGAGCAGATACATTTCACACACCTTATCTAGTCCTTATAAGAAATTTATCAGGTAGGTTTTATTGTCCCCATTAAACGTATAAGGAAACAGATGCACCAAGAAGGTAAATAGCTTCCTTGAAGATAACAAATATAAGTGGCAGAGCCACTTTCTGCAAAGCCTTTCTCTTGCCAGTATTTGACAATAACATGCAGCAGATTCTTGACATTTGTGTTATCCCATCCTGGAGTCCTACTGGTAGCATTTACCCTTTAAATATAAGGATCATTGAGAAATTTAAATGATTCTTTCAAGCCTCTAATGATTCTATGCACATTGTATTAAAATTTATTTCCTCTGCACAAATTGCCTTCGTTTGCACTTTTGCTCGTGTTTTATTGCATATTTGTATCAACCGTCTTTCCCACTGGTTAGGGTACTTGGTAGAGCATTATTTTCATGGATCAGTATTCCTAAATGATCAATATTTCACTTTATACATCAATATTCCTAATTTTGTGTGATGCTTATGGTGAGGCTCATTACATTGTAGATCATACCTTGATCTAATTCAATACCCCACTCTGAAGCCACCCAAAAGTTTTATTTTTTCTTAAAAGCAGTAACTTTCTCATTCCTCTTTAATTTCTTTTCACTTTTATCATAAACTTTAGCACTTGGTGGTCTTTTCAGGTTCATTCTTTCCCAGGAAGCAACATTTTTACCACTTTATTAACATTGCTATAGGCATGAGTAGAGAAAAAACCTACCTATATTATTATAATTGAGTGATTTTTTTCCTCACATATGAACTGTTGAATTCATTCTTCAGCAAAGTTACAAATCGCTACTAGGCCTGAAATTTCAGGGTCACTCTAGAACAATTAAATTTATTAATACTAAAACTTTGAATTGTATGCATTAATATTTATGCATTCTTTTATGTATAAGATGATTTGATTTATTATGATATATGAAATATTTAAGCAAAACTTTCTTTTTCTGAATAAGTATGAATTATTGGGTTAATTTTATGCATTCTCCATATTCCTAATATAGGTGAAGGTAAAATATGTGCTCATCTAACTTTATTTTTTGTGATGTCTTTCTTAGCTCCCAATAACACATGTGACGAAAATGCTTTCATGTGCCATAATAAAGTATGCATTCCCAAGCAATTTGTTTGTGACCATGATGATGACTGTGGAGATGGCTCTGATGAGTCACTGCAGTGTGGTAAGTATATCTAAACTTTTCATGGAGGAGATGATCAGGCTGAGTTGGAGTCTTTTCAAATGACCCAGGAAATATATAAATAAATAACAAAAACAAACACTTTTCTTAGTGTCACTAAAGACTGGTAAATTTGATAATACACAGAGACACCACACATAAATTCTTTAAGCTCTAGCATAATTATACATTTATTTGGAAATCATGCCTACTTCTTATAGTGCATTCTTTACTTTTTTCTTTTTTTTTTCTTTAATGACTGGCTGGGATAGGTATCCAAACCCTTGACCTTGATGTTATTAGCCCCATTCTCTACTGAGTGAGCTAACTGGCCAGCCCTGTTACAGTGCATTTTTACCACTGACTATATCAGAAAATGTTTATAAAAATGCTTTGGCTTGAAGTACTTTGAAATTTAAGTGCAATATATGGCTGGCTCATTTAATCTTATAGTGAGAAAAAAGAATACAGAATTATCAGAAAAACTGGATGTGTAACCTTTTCTTTCACCTTGTCTTTTTACACATCTACTAATTTGTTAAAATTTAATATTATGATTACAAAATTTATCTTTCTATTACATATATATTTATATAACCATTATGTATAATATACAGACATATGCACATGTAGCATTTGTGATTAAATCTCAGTATATTACAAATGCCCAGTTGAAGTTGAAATCTTATGAGAACCTAGTGTTTTTGTAAAATATTTAAATGAATATACTTGAATAAGTATATATAATGAAAAGTTGCGGACTCCATATATGCTCATGGAAAGCAGTAGATTTAGTGCCCTTTGTCCTCATTGTGTATGTCTATAGCCTTGGTCTTTGCTATCTGAAATCAGTGTATATCAGTTTTTATGATCATTTCACAATTAAGTCATATAATCAACATGATATTTTAAAGGCTACATTATAACTCAAAAGATGTAAATCTGAAGTGAAGTTATGTTTGATTGCTACACACTATATTTGGTTGATATGGAGATGAATGAGACAGAGGCCCTACTTGAAGAAATCATAGGCAAACCGGAAAGTCAGAGATACAATATATACATATAAAGCATACATTGTCTAATGGGAATAAGAATCACAATATATGGGATAAGAGCTGAGAAAATAATTTTTTGAGGAAAGCACTAAGGAAGAGAAGCAGGTAATGTTAGTCAAAGGAAATCATACTTAGATGCTAGAGAGCATGGAGTGATGGTTAATAGTATGGACCTTGGAGCCAGATAGCCTGGGTTGAAATCCTGAATCTGCAGCTTACTAGCTGTATGTCCTTGAAAAAGTTACCCTACCTCCCTGTATTTGAGTGTCCTCATATGTATAACAACAGTGTTTAACTCTTAGGGCTGTTAAGGGAATTAAATGGGTTAATATTTGTGAAGTGCTTAGAGCACTTCCGATGCATTGTAAATTCTATGTGTATGTCCAAAAACCTGTAAATTGACATAGTTGAGAAACAGCAATTAGTCTTCTGTGAGGTAAGTTGAAGTTAAAAATTAAGTTGGAGCCTGAAATACAATGTTAGAGAATTTGTATTTACTTATTTTGCCTCTCAGAGGCAAGCACACATTTTGAAACAGAGGAACAGACATCACAGTCAAATTTATGTTTTAGAATCATCATTTCCAGCACAGTGGAAAAAATACTGCCACAGTGGAGGGGAGCTGTAAACGGACAATTACCTATTTAGGAGGTTATTGCGATATTTCTGATGATTCATGATGTAGTTCTGAGCCAGGTTGGGACTGGTAGAATGGATGGTGCTGAATGGGTCAGAGTTCATTTACAGTTGGATTTGGAGGATAAAAGAGAATTTCTAGCTTGGATGATTTGGTGGATGGTGTTGTTATTAACGAGCTTTGGAACACAGGAGATTAAGGCCTAGTTTTGCTGATGCAGGAGAGGAGAGATGTAATGAAGAATTTATCTTGGACCTTTTGAATATGAGGTTTAATCAGTCAATCAAACAAAGCTATATAGTGAGCATTTGAAAATTTAGTTCTAGAGATCAGAAGTACGATGAAGACACCTAATACTAATTGGTTGGTCATCAGCACAGAGGTGATATTCAAGCTGTGAAAAAGAATGAGATCACCCAAAGTAGAAGGGAAAAGAGGAAAATGATAGGCTGGAGTTAGGGCTTCCCCTGCAATATTTTATGGTAGAACAGGGAGAGAAAGAGGGGAACAAGAAAAGCAAAGGTAAAAAGAAGCCCAGGAGAGTGGATCATGAATATTAAACCAGGAAACTACATCCAGTGTGGTGTGATGAACAGCATCAAGTGCTGCAGAACAGTGAAGGGGACAAGGGTCTGAGACACCTTTGAATCTGAGACTTGCACTTGGTCTTTATTATCTGTAAGAGGAATTTCAGAAGGTAGAAACATTTTGCAACACAAAATGAGATAGGGATTGATCAAAGATGGACTGGTGGTGAGTAAGGGGAAGCAAGATTGAGCAGTACAGGGAAGAAAAGAAATGTGTTGTGAAGAGATGTGTAGGAGGATTTTTGTTGTTATTGGGCCGAGCAAGCCATGCATGTGTTTACTGACTGAGGAGAAGGAGCTGGTGAAGGAGGAGAGGGAAGGAAGAAATATTAGAGAAATGGGATATTTTAGAACTATAGTATCTAGTTTTACCATCCCAATATGATAAGCACTTCAATTAAATATTCATTATTGAATTATTTTTTATCGGAATTTTATTTTTTAAGCCATAAAAATCTTAACCCCTTCCTCCAAAAGCAGAGCATTTGACCAGATTTATCAGAAAGTTCTAATAGGAATAAGTTTTTATTGTTGAAAATTTAGGATAAAATCCATTCTGAAACTTAATATTAAAAGTTAAATGAGTTTTACTTACAAACAGGCATAAAAACAAACATTATCTGTAATTTGAATAAAGCTTTTTAATGACTCTAAGAATCAATATATAGGATAATCATAATAGTTTTTGTGCTTAATGCTCCATAAACTGACTTCTACATTTTTCTTGTTTTTAAAATTTCTTTATACTTAGAATGCTTCTTGCCAAACATAAACATGACATTACAGCTTCTGAGAATTATCATTTTAGCTCAAAATCAATTCATCCATATATTCTGGTGCTATTCCTATCCAAGATTAGTCTTAAAAATATTCTCATAGCTTTCATTTTTGTTTTCCATCGTACAGGAAATATCTAGGATATAGATAATAGATGAACAGAGAAGATGTATTCAACAGTGTTGCATTCTTGTTTCCTCACCTAGAAACAATAAAAGTGCCTTATTTTTAACTTTATTTTCTGGACCTTTGTCCTCTTCCAAACCACAAATGTCTCTTGTGCCACTGTCATAGAAAGAAATGAGAAGCATTTGCCATACGAGGCATGGTTAACCCACATGGTTAATTAGGCATAGTGTGCACCAAAGGGATGAAATTTTAATGAATATTTATTATATCAATTAGTCAGAATGTTTGTTTCTTTCTTTCTAGGATACCGACAGTGTAGTTCAGGAGAATTTAGTTGTGCTGATGGGAGGTGTCTTTTAAACACTCAATGGCAATGCGATGGTGACTTTGACTGTCCTGACCATTCTGACGAAGCACCTTTAAACCCAAGGTGTAAAAGTGCAGGTACAGAAATATATAATACTATGTTTATTCCAAAGTATTTTGTTGTTGTTTAAAGGCAAAACCGTGACTAATTTTCTGTCTAGTATGCTATTCCATGAAAGGAAATGCAAATTATTAAGCATGTGATGTTTCTAGTGATACCATGAAGGACCCTAGTAATCAACTGTGTTCAGGAGCTAGTTTTAGAAATTTAAGTCTGTGCCACAAATATGAAGAGTTGAGACAATGATCCTGATGAATCCATTACCCTGTCCACCAACCCCCAAAACTCACTTTTAGAAAATATGTTATTTTATATGAGAATAATTTTTTTATATATGGGCCTATTGGAAAATTCAAATATAGAAAAAATAAGATTTGCTGAGAAATAGCCTGTATTATTCATACTGAGGCAAAATGAAATAAATTGTGTATTATTTGAATGGAAATATATGTATGTATATATGTATATGTATTTATATTTATATTTAGAGAGAGAGAAAGAGAGAGGGAGAGAGAATGCCAAACCTGGTCTATTTATCACTTCACTGTTCCAAAGACTGAATACAGAATCATATATTTTAGAATAAACTCAATTACTTTTTTTTCATGTAGTTTACATGTCAGTAGGCTTTCTTTAAGCATGTATGATAGTGAGTAATGTTCAAGTCACCCAGTTATGAGTAGCTGCAAAACCTAAACTCCTTGCCATAGCTATATTTGGAACGACTATTTTTCACCACCAATGTCCTTTTTATGCCTTGACTTAAAAATGTCAATGTTATACTTCCAGGAAGAAAAAGAATTTAAGAATCCTACCTATCCTAGATTCTCAATTTTAGTGACATATACTTTCTCAGAGACCTATGGCTTGAGGGAAATGTCAAAGTATCATTATGCTTTTGAACTCATTCTTCACAATAGAGATGAGACAGAAATGGTTCATTAATGCTTATTTTGATTGTTAATTTTCATGGTAAAGCTAGATTTTCAATAAGTGCTGAACGCAAAAGTATAGTTTACCCTTGGTTTTCCATACTTTATGTGTAAAATATTACACCAAATATAAAGTATTTTATATGTACCTATAGTTATAATTTTTGACAGATAAGTTATCATATTTGTGAATGTTTTCATCAATTGTAGTATAAAACAATGGCATGCCTTTTATGTTCCGTTTGTTTTATTTTCTTTTTCCAGAACAGTCATGCAACAGTTCATTTTTTATGTGCAAAAATGGCAGGTGCATTCCCAGTGGAGGTCTTTGCGACAATAAGGATGACTGTGGAGATGGTACAGATGAGACAAACTGCCATATAAATGAATGTCTGAGTAAGAAAGTCAGTGGGTGTTCTCAAGATTGTCAGGATCTTCCAGTCAGTTACAAGGTAGGTACTCATCAAAAATAGCAAGTCATGTGATACATTAGAATTTAATATAATGAAAGCTATTTAATCCAATAAAGCTATAAAACTTTATAGGCATCATAATATTGTTAAGCAAAACTATTTAAATGGAAAGCATCTACATAAGGAAACAACAATAATAATGTGGTATAAAAGTTGTGAGGATACAGTTAAGAAGACCAAAATATCAAAATGTTTTTAATATATTCTGAAGATAAAGAAAAAGATGAGCAAGGGAATACCAGTGTTTGGGAAAGATATTCTTATGTTAATAACTGTATAAATAATTATGCATTTCTTAAGTTCCCATTTCTTCCCTCATTGTTCCTTCTGTACATCTTTGAAATAGAATGTACTAATCATTAATTCACTACAATACTGGAGAATACAATATTTTTCATATAAACAAGAAGAAAGACCAGAAAACATGAATTATTAGGACTGAGTGTGGGTACATTAAAAATAAATCATTACTTAATATCCTAATTGCTTTTCGTTAGTATCATTTCACTGAAGAGGGTGATTCACTGACAAAATTGATTGACTGAAATTGCTTCTAAAAACATCTGATTCAAGTATGTTGAAATGGTGGATGTAAACTAACACAATACTAAAATGTGAAGTTGTACGTTAGGTTAAAATTGATTATGTAAGTATTGGAAAACCTCATCAAGAGCAATTCATTTGAAAATTAGTATTTTTAACTGAGCGGTATCTCTGTATAAATCAGCAATAGGACATAGATCCTATAAAATGCAGAAGCACTCTAATGCCACTTAGGACTATTACAGGGATGAGATTTTGTTCTATGGAGTTCTGCACCAATCATCTGAAGTACTGTGCACATTTATGGACATGGTACTTTGTCAAGAGGAGTCCTGACAAATTGGACTGTATCCAAATGGGATAAGGGATCTGGAGCATTTGTCTTTGGAAGAAGTTTTACTTAGAGCAAAGATGCCTTGTTAACTGTATTCAAACATGTGAAGTACTAGAATATCTAGTATAACTAGTCAGAGTTGTTTCAAAGCTTGGCATTAAAAGTGTGGAGACAGATTCAATATAAGGGAGACTTTTATAACATTAGAACTCTACTTTGGAATGAATTGCTTCACATATCACTACCAAAAGTGTTTCTGCATATCCAGTGACCTTCTTTGCAGGATGCTAGAGTAAGAATTTGTGTATTGCAAAGATGCCGGGTCATTTTCTCTGTCAGGCTTAACATTTTATGACAAACCAGTTCTACCTAATGATGAATTTAGCTAACCAACCAATTTGCTATTTTTAATCTCTGAATTTCTGGTATTATAACTAACTTAGCTGCTTTGATAAGTATTTTACTTTATATAGATATAACCTAAGAACTACAGCAATCATTTCCTCTAGCATAAAAATAGAGATGGAAAAAAAATCAAGAAACCTGTATTTATATATCTATAAGAAAGAGTCTTTTAGACCCAATACTGCATTAAGAAGTGGTTAAGCTTACAAAGCATACATGCTCTTTTTCATAAACTCTGTATTATAGGCAGAAGCAAACAAAACAAATGAGCCTGAACAGTTCTTAATGAGATGAGTGTGAGTCAAATAATTAATTTTGGCAGTAAATATTTTAAAACCCAATGGAGTAGAAAAAAATATTATCAATGACTTATGTACAATCAGTTTAGAAATATTTTCTGAACACATCAGGGAATGTGTTGTGGAATTACTGCAAGTAACTAGTCAGAATTTTAAGTTATAGGCTTATAAATAATTCTTTAGTTATAATTATTGTAATTCTTCAGATGTATCATATATCATCATATATTTATGTGATAAAATTCAAAATATATCTGTTTATGTTTATTCTGTGTGTGTATTTAATGTCAGTCATAACAATCTTGGTGGTAAAATGTAAAAATTATAGAATATCAGATGGACACCTTGTGACATGACATCAGAAATGAGGTTTAATATTATTTAAAATGCCTGCATAGGGCCAGCCTGGTGGCGCACTCGGTAGAGTGCGGCACTTGGGAGTGCGGCAGCACTCGCACCGAGGGTTCGGATCCCATATAGAGACCGGTCCGCTCACTGGTTGAGCGTGATGCGGGCGACACCGAGGGTTGTGATCCCGTTACTGGTCACTAAAAAAGACAAAAAAAGGAAAAAAATAAATAAATAAATAAATAAATAAAATGCCTGCATATAAGAAGTATTTAATGCATAGCAACACTATATTTGGAAAACTGCTTTTGTTAGAAGATATTATCCAGAAAACCATGTTAAATCATACTGTTTTAATTACTCTGAAAGATTCCTCACCAAGAAATTCTTGTTTATTGATACCTTTAAAATACCAGTATTTTCATTTTGCCTTCTCTGAAGGGGCCATAGATTGAAGTGAGAATTCTAGCTAAAATAGGCAAAAGTATTTAATCATTCGAAAAGTGTGCATATGGTACCTGACAGACTGTTATGAATAATGTTCTTAAATTTGTACACTGTGTCAAAAATAATAAAGTAAAACATCTATTGGTGGAAACTAGACCAATACAAAAGTTCAAGATCAGACCAGAATCATGAATAAAAGATTTAAGCAAAGGTTCAAGTCAAATATTTTACATATCGTGTCGATATATATGTATGTATATATGTATATATAAAAATACACATACACATATGTACATACACATGCACAAATATATATATATATATATGGGTCATATATATACAACAATTATTTGATAGGAATTTGAGTAAAAAGCCTATGTACAACATAATGCTTATACGGTTTTGGGAAAAAAAATAACCTATAGGTTTCTTTGTTCTATTAAATGGGGAAAATTATCCAGTAATGTATTTTTCTTTGCAATATTGGCAGAATATGACAGAAGTCATCCTCCAAAATCTGTAATAAAATAAAAATTGCTTACGAAAGCAAAATTTAGACGTTATGGAGTGTGAATAATTTGCACGTTTGCTGTAAAACAAATACGATGTATCCAACTATTCAAAAGGGAGTAATAACATTTAACTAAAGCAAGAATCTTATTTTGATGGGAAGAATAATTTGCCATGTAAATATGAATGTACTTCTGGGAGAGAAAAAAGTGATAATGTATACATTAGAAGTAAAATCATCAATATTTGTCAATTATCACTTAAAAACCTGTAAAGAAATTTTCCTGATGGAAATGGGAAAAGACTGGATAGCTGTATTTCTTTTTTGATAGCTATATGTTCCTATTAAAATTATAATTAATCAGGAAAATATGAAATAATTCTGAATAATGAGAAGAGTTCAGATAACATTGAATATATATAAATCCCACTTAAAAAAAATGACTTTTTTGGTTGAAGATGAGAACATTGTTTTCTATTAAACATAAACAAATCTGGCATCTTTTATCTTTGAAAATGCAAATGATTATTATTTTCTCTCATTCAATTTATGAAAATTAGTCTAGTAGAATTTCCTACAGAATTTCCTACAGCCTTTTGATCATTTGGGAGGAAAAAAATGTTTTTGTTAAAATAAGGTTAATGGATTAGGAAGGAAATTGTCTTTATTAAAATCTTCTTTCAATTACCAGAATTTTAAAACTTACTGTAAGACTTAAACCTTTTTTTACAGAATTGTGTAGTAACTTTAACCAATTTTACATTCAAAAAATTAATTTTCCATAAATGTGTTTTTATCCAAGCTATTTGATATAGTATTTCTATAAGCCTGACACTAGGCATTCAAAATGATTTTCAGAAATCCCATTAAAATTGAGATGCATTTTGGTTCTTTTTATAATACTATTTTAGAGGAATTCAACCCGTTCTATAAAATTTCCTTTACTTGTCCTAAAGCGCCTCTTGTTTCAACACTGTGCTGGGTCTACCAATCAGACTTCTGGCTTCCTGACCACATGATCATGTGATCTAATTTCCAGTCCTTTCCAGTGATAACTTCTTGTATCCTGTAAGATTTCTCATTTTTTAAATAAATTATTTATTCTTAAATATTGTGATTAAAAAAATGCATAACACAAAATTTACCATTTTAACCATTTTTAAGTGTACATTTCAGTGACATTAAGTATCTCATTTTCTTTGGCCATAGTGTAAGCACCAATTCCTCCTGGCTTACTAATATATATTTAAATAAACATATTATACAAAACTTTCTGAATTACTTTCTTTTAAGAAGTAATTTTGTTTCCAAATAAATTCTGAAGAAAAAAACAAACTAAAGGTTGAGATGATCTCTCTATATATTAAGCATGGTCAGATCTTTATTATTTTGCAGGTGGCAGGATGGGTCTTTGCAAGGAAAGTAATATTGTCACAAACTTAGATATGATGAGGAGAGTTTGACAAATGTAGCTGTGGCTTTTGCTTTCATTTGCTGGCTTACTTGTGAGTTCTAGAAATTTAAAAAGTTCATTATAATTGCTGAGGATTATTAGATAAATGCTGGTGTAAACTGATAAAAGTGAAAGTGCTAAGATCACAAAGGGATTCATTTCTTCTAAAAGGAATTAGGAAAAGGTATTTACCTTTTGAGTGCTTTCAGATGAAATTAATGTTAATTCCTTGCTTCTCTATAAAGTAATGAACACTTTTCTTGTAATTAAAAAAGTTCTACACCTCAATTAATTGTTTACTGATTATTTAATGATATGGACATTCTTCACTCTACTCTTTCTCGGTAGATACAAAGCTCTGCTGTCACTTTTACCGTCAAATAAATGATCCAGATTATGAAATGTTCACCATGGATAGCTCTTGAATACTAATTACTTTTAACAATTTAGAGTTCTTTCTTAACTCACCATTCTACTCAATACTCACAAATTCCTTTTTTTAAAGGCCATTAAATGGTTTTGGTAAAGGTTAATGTCATCACAATCATCTGTCCAACTATAGGCTCATTTTCTATGACAGTAATTTTCATATGCTACCTGACAGGGACTGAGGACAGAACTAAAAAAAGTGCCCAGTCACAGTGCCTCATCATTTTCAGGAATGAAAAAACATATACTATGACATTTGTATGCAAAGAGTTGATCTTCCAGTTAGTAAATATCACATATCATCATCAGAAGGACATGTAGAACATGATAGAGATGCTGAAGGAAAGATTTAATGACACAAATTGATTTAAATATTGTGAGAAAAAAAAAACTGAGTTTTTTTATTACTATTTTTTATTACTATTTCTCCAGACAACATCAGCATGTCTGAGAATGGAATCAGACTCAGTCAATAAATATTAATTAAGACTTACTATGTGTTAAAAATTGCTGTAAGTCCCAGCTCTCCTACTGGCTTTATCTAGGCAACTTCGTCTTTGGCTTTCAGATTTCTCATCAAATAACTAAGGATAATAACATCTACCTTATAGATTTCTATAGAGCTCTGATAAGATAACACATATGACAATGTTAGAAGTCTTCAAAGCTTCAAATAAGATTATTTCTTTTGATTTTTAAAGTCTTCTAAAAAGACATAATGGAACAGAAAAGGAGCAAAAGAAGTTGATTTGTTTCTGTTTTTTTTTCTTTTCCATTCTCTAACCACATGGCTTTAGTGATGTCAATTAACTTTTGCAATCTTGCCAGCCTCAGAAGATCAAATGAAGGTATTTGGGAGAATGCTTTTTTAACTTAACCTTTACATAATGTATGTAATTCTTATTAAAGGTTAATTGCTGGGAGACAAGGAGACTTGCCATTATCTATGCTTAAGTACTTTTTTTGCCTGAGTCATGCTAAAGAGGTACCTACTAGTAAAAGACAGTAATGATGGTATGAATTGATTATGCTCATATTTCTTTCTTCAGTGCAAATGCTGGCCCGGATTCCAACTGAAGGATGATGGTAAAACATGTGTAGACATTGATGAATGCTCTTCAGGCTTTCCTTGTAGCCAGCACTGCATCAATACATATGGGACCTACAAGTGTCTCTGTACAGATGGGTATGAAATACAACCTCATAACCCAAATGGCTGCAAATCACTCTCAGGTATCGAATTGAACTTACCCACTGATTCAACCTCAGTTACACATATGAATTCTGAATTTATAGCCAATTTTATTGAATTCACTCCTCCTTGCTGTTTCTGAGAAATCAAAATTCTTCCCTACTTTCCTAATCTGTCACTCTGATTGTGTACACTGTGCAATACTGCTTTGTTTGCAATAACATTGCATTATGGTCTTGTGAATTATTAAGTGTTTTCTAAATTGTGAGAATGCTCACAAGTGAAATGAGCTATCTCTAGCACTGCTTCCCGCTGGATCACATGAACTTGGGATCAATTGCAGCCAAGACTATTAAAGAGCCCGATGTGACAGTATTGTAACATTTTTACTTCTCCCCTGCAACACACAATCTCATACACATGCAAAGGAGAACAGGTTAGTAAGAAGAAGAAAGAGGAGAAGAAGAAATATAAATCAGCTATATAAGACTATTTGAATTCTTCCAGTGATTCAGCAAATATTATTAAACCTCTGTTTATTCCAAGAGTATGTTTGACTCTGTCAATTAGAAATTTAATAAAGCATGGCCCATAACTTTAAAAAAGTATTGTGATCCATTAGGGGAGAAATCACACACATTGAAATAATTCACAGCAGTATGTGATAATGACTGTTATAATGGGCAAAAATGGTACAGAAGGGAATCTCAATCCCCCTTAATTTGTTTTTAAGTATAATGAATCAAATACTATTGCCAGTTTCTCATACAGATATATGTTAGTGACAACATTTAAACATTAGATGTTTCCTCATCTACTTAAATTAAATATATATCAGGGATAAAAATTTTTAAATGAGTTTTATAACTAGTCGAAACTTTGCATTTTATGGAGAAAAGGAATAACTGCTCTCAGCTTTTCATTTCATTATCACTTATTCTTGGAATAGTCTTTCCTGAATCAATTTGAAGATTGTTTAGAGTCCATTGTTTTATGTACCAACCTACTTGCTTTTAGCCAGCTCACTTCTTGGTACATCATGTATTTAGTGACATGAGAAAAGAAGAGATAAAATCTCAGAAACAGTCAATATTTTTATACTAAACTTTTCATAAGGAATTGTGTAGAAGACATGAATGCTAATGGTTACAATTTGTGTCTTGTTGTATTACATATCCATGCCATAGTTGTTTCCCATTAGCAATAATAATTAGAAACTAATAACAATTTTGAATACAAAATGTGTTCCAGAACCTTAACTCTTTTGCTAAAGAGACACTAGATTTTTAAAAATTCCAATATATTTAAGTTGTAAAGAACAGAATAGCCTAAGAATTGCAGTGGAACATGACAGATTAATTTAGAACTATATTGACAGAGATAGCAAATCACCTTTAACTTGAGAGCCAACTCTCTGTTGAGAAGGATTCTGAGCTATTTGGCCTCAACAGGAAGATTGGAATGATTGACTGGGAGTGCTGTCATGGATAAAGGAAGGAAGTATATAATATGAGTGACACGGCATGTGCAACATAATATAATATATAATGTATTATGTATTAACTGTGAAACTAAAAGACAACATGAAAAAGTAAATTTCAAACATAAATTTTATGGACAATAACTCTGTAACAATAAATGATTTACAATAAAATCTGTGTTAAATTATATAAAGCGACTACCCTAATAAATGATTTTTTTCTAATTTCTGTTGACATTAAATTTGTCATTTGGCAAATAAGTACATGAGTGCATCTTAAAAACAAAGATAAAGTTTGAACAAATTTTTTACTGAATTTATCTAGGATTATATAATTGTGAATGTGGTCAAACTGACTTTATTCAAATATATATTCAAAAAAACATACTGTACAAAACTTTCTGAATTACTTTCTTTTAAGAATTAATTTTGTTTCCAAAAGAATTCTAAAGCGAAAACCACACTAAAGTTTGGGAGGATCTTCATATATATTGAGCATGGTCAGATCTTTATCATATTTTTCCTAGATTCTAAAACAAATGAGATACCAAAACACATTGGACAGGTTTATAAGAAAGAAACAGAGACTATCAAAGGATTAAAAAATAAGACTCATGAGTAAATGTAAAATTAATAAACAAAGATTTTAGAACCTGGAGTTCAGAAATTATTTAAGAGGAGCTCTCAGTCAGATGAAAAGAGTATATGTATGCAATAATACTCCTGACTTTCATCCATGTCATTTTGGGAGCATAGGATGGTTATGAAGAAAGAGTTTCCTGATTTTATGAATGTTTTAGCTTTTCTGTAGGTTTCTAAGATAGGTGTAGATAATTGTTTTCTAAAATTAATTTAAAAATCAGATTGCAAAAAACAGCTATTTTTCACTAGTTACAAATAAATTATTTGAATGTCAAAGAATATTAACGGTAAAAGAGGGGTGCACTCAGAATTATCTAGATGTTTGTAGTGCCTGAGCATGTACTGCCTTTCATGTTGCTATCAACTCAGTTGCTCAGTATGAATTTTTCAACCATTAACCTACCAGAGCAGTACTGCATTTGAATTTACATTGCTGCTAAAGTAAACTCTAACTAATAAGAGTAGAAAACCATAAATATCAAAAGTCTAATATGTTCTTTGTTTTGGTGTTTAGATGAAGAACCTTTTCTAATTCTTGCGGATCATCATGAGATAAGGAGAATTAGCACTGATGGCTCTAACTACACGCTTTTAAAACAGGTATGACATTCCCAGGATGATTCCATGGCTTTTAATATGGGTACTCCAAGTATGTGTTAGAGCTGTAGAAATACCTAACAATTAGAATTTATGATGTACTTGTTTATATATACCTGCATGTATGTATATAAGACTACCATAAACTTTGTTTGTTTATGATGAGCAGGTGATACTTCCAACTTGCCATAACACACTATATCAAAGAAGGTAAAGATGGCAGAGTATAATTAGTGCAGAGGAAACCCATCTCAAGAACAGCTACATTAGAGAAAGCATAAACTTCTCTTTTAAGTTATTTTGTGGATTATCTAAATTCCCCCCCCCCCAAACACTTTTAAAAATAAAAGTATCTTTTCTGGAACTTTAAGTTCCTGTTCACAGAACCAGGAAATAAAACAGGATTGATGATACGTAGCCTTCAACGTTTATAATTAGCAAAGGAGTGAAAGTGTGATCGTGGGGGCCGGCCCGGTGGCGCACTGGATAAGTGCGCCGCTTGGGAAGCGCGGCGGTGCTCCCGCCCGAGGGTTAGGATCCCACATACAGACCGGTTCCCGCTCACTGGCTGAGCGAGGCACGGGAGCAACACCGAGGGTTGCAATCCCGTTGCCGGTCCCCGGTCCGGTACGGGGGCAACACTGAGGGTTGCGATCCGTTGCCGGACACGGAAAAAGACAAAAAAAAAAAAAGATTTTTCTATTTCTGTAAAAACATTTAGTGGATCAGCGGTCTTTATTTTTAAGATCCTGCTATATTTTAGAAACCCATATGAACTATGTGAAGACTATTATTTGAACAGTACCTAAAATTTTTGAAGTCAATATTTTTCTATTTCAAAAAAAAGAAAGATATTTAAAACAAAATCTCCAAAATGAAAATACACACGACCTTGTTCTATTTTTTTTAATAAAATAAAATAAAACACCTGTTTTATGAAAAACAAAAACATGGGATGAGGTAACAGGATGTCAGTCTTATCTTCTTCATCCCTTTACCCCACCCGCTTCACAAGAATCTCCTCTGCTGATTTGTTTTGGTGTTCAAATGCTATTCTAAGAGTTTATTTAGTCTGTTATTTGAGATAAAAAAGTTATGATTTCCATTTTACAATAGGGTAGAGAACTGTGAATTGCTCACCTCAGTTTTTTTTTCCCTCCCCATCAGCAGTGGAAATAGCACAAAATCAAATCATTAAAACTAAACCGATTGCTACATGAAACACTGAAATCACATAAGAATATATGTAGTTAGTTACAGCATATTTTTGGTTGTCAGGAGAAATATCTTCCTTGGTATGATTTAGCTTTTATCTGTTCTGCTACACATTTCTCTTTGCTCCAAACTGTATAATGATGACATGGATATGTAGCACTGTCTACAACAAGTGTGCCAAAATGAAGGCTATTTCTGTTTTTGTAATATGTTAATGCTAGCATTAGGTATAAATGAAGAACACTATTCATACGGTGATTTTCCTGCAACATGAAGCAGACTTACTTAATTAAAAGTATTTTTGCTGCTCACTGATGGATTTGTTCACTGCTATTATGAGAGTTTCATTCGTTTTGTTTAAGGATTTAGTCTTATTTTAAGTGCAAATATCCACTAGCCAATGTGGTATTGACTCCTCCTGACAGAGTTGGCTTTTCCAGCTTTCCTCTAGGTCACAAGTTGAAAATGAAAATTTCACATGAAAACCCAGATTTCTGGCTACTCATGAAAAAAATAGGAAAGTGTAGCAAGCCAGGTTCATATTCCTGAATGGTCACAAGCCAAGCTGTGCAGCAGCTGCCACTTTGACATTGAGCCCGTGTGCTGCAGTCTACTGGAATCCTCAGACTTTCCATGGGCTTATGACGTGTGTTCTTGCCTTATTCCTGAATGCCTGTGAGATTTAGACTCTTTCTCTTGAGTCTGGAGTATGCTACCAACATCCACTCTATCATACTGCTTCTCTTTTTAATTGGAGATCCTTTAGAGATTGGGTAAAATAAAATATTTTTATGTTGTTTATAAAAGTGAAACAGAAATCTATTTAAAATATAAGGATTGGAAAACTTTCTCTTTAAGAAACAAACACTATAACAGAAATCCTTGGAGAGAAAGTTTAAGTATACATACTGCTTCAATATGGAAAAAAATTATGTTGCCCAAATAGTTTTCTACATAATCTAGCTTAATTTAATGCTATTTTTCTACACAGTCTACTTTTAAACGTACCAAAATTAGAAAATACTGAAAATTATCTCTCTCTCTCTCTCTTTTTGAGTATGTCTTTACACCCTCTCTAAGCTTTTCTGTAGCTTCGAAGTGAGGTGTGCCAGACACTGATTTCCTGGCATGGTCTCTGGAAAGGGACATGTTTATTTTCTCTTTACTAGGTTTATTGTTTATTTATTTGTCTTGCTTTTAGCATTCTAGCCTTTTAGACTATGCTATCTTAGTTTAAAGGGAGAAAGTTCTTTCTTTAAAATACTTTACTTTTAAGCTCAGCTGAACCACAAGTTTAACTAATAAAGCAACAATATTTATTGTCTTCTTGAAATAACTGTAACAGAACTTCAGTGATGTCTCCTTGTTTCATTTTCCAATTCTGTAGCTCAAAAAATTTCTTCTGGTATCCCTTTTTTTTTTTTTGTCTTTCATGGGTAATATGTTGCTAGAGATTGTTCCTAATGGAGAAAAATGATTTTTTCCTCTATGCATTATTTAAGTCTATTTAATATAATGGTACGACTTTAATGCACACTTTAATATGGCTCTGTTCTCCTAGTGGTATCATTTTAGACTATTGCTAATCATTAGTATCCAAGTGGAGATGAGTTTCAGATACTTTACTTAGTGCAGTGTATATGGGAATTAAAAGGTTGTGAGAGGGACGAGAAAGCTCGTGAAGACTCTGAACACCGCTGTCTTTGCAAGGTGTTTGTCAATGGTGACCACTGATGAGAAAATAGAGACCCAAAGAACTAAAGACAAGGCTTATATCTAGTTTTGTCTGTGGCTGCCTGAAATATATCATTTCTGTCATGGAACATATTTTTAACCACAATCTCATCATAGCATTATAGAAATTTTCAAGGAATTTTTGGCAGTAGATACCATTTTTTCCCCCTCAGAGATTCTGGCTATCTATGCAACATGAAGTCAAACACAGAAGTAATTATCTCTCCACATCTTCTCTCGGCCAAAATAAATAAAAGACATCCTGGGCTTTAATTATTTGGAGTCTTTGTGTGTAACTGATTTGGAAGAATGAATAATATCTTGAGTTTTATTATCTTTGTTGGAGTCAGTAACATTTACAGGAAGTTTTGTTGCATAAAATTGTAACAAGTAGTAGAACTGTTTCTGACCCTGTATATTCTACAGCATAGTTGTAGCTAGACCAGCTATAACTTAAATTCATATACCATATTTAGAAACTATAATAACTTGGATTTTAGGATTGAAAATCAAGGAGTTTTCCAATATATTATCCAATTCAATTCTAACAGTGCCTTCATTCCAGTAAAATTGTATAAAGAAACAAAACACAATTTCCTACATTAATCATCTTGAACCAAAGGGTGCAAATCTTCAGCTACAGAAATGAAAGAGGCAAATAGGATTTTGATGAAACCAATTTTCAGTTCTGAAACCACTGGGATGACTCTTGTTTTCAGTCATTATTTTGACCATGCCCCAGGCTGTTTTAATGTTCCTTGCATATGATTCTGCAGAGAGCATTGCACTGTTTTCTGTGGGGATTAAGGGTAAAGTTGTAGAAAAATTACCAGCTGGGCTAGATAGATATGTCGGAATTCAGAGCTTCAATTCTTCTGCATTTACTACTGTAATTTATTGTAGTTGACCTACTAAGTTTCGAATTGGATTTTTATTATCTAAATTGATTATTGAAAAGAAACAAATAGGATAATTCTGCCACGACTGGGGATTGTGGGTAAATCTTTGCTAAAATTAGTGACAAGTTTCTCTCTACCTTTTCCCTGTAAAGCTCTCTAACTTAGCCATCTGAATTGCCAAGTCATCACAGAATCATAACCCATTTACATTATTTCTCTGTAGAGAAAGTATTTGAACAGAAAAGATATTATAGACTACTATTGAAATGAATTTATTAAGCCCTCTACAGAATTTGTCTAGAATTCATTCCATTTATATTTTAGAAACATTGATTTTGCATAGTTAACTTTCTAGGTGTGTATGTTTAACTGCATTTAGTTAAGGAGTTCTTCAGTTTTTAGTATGTCCATGGATATTTAATGAATCTTTTGAATCTGCAGCTGAATATTATTGACCCCCCTTTTATCTTTAGAATTTGTAGTCATTATTCTTTATCAGCAATACTGCCAGTAAGAAACATACTTGCATTTATTCATTTGCACTGTGTCATATATTTACCGCCTTGTGTCTCTTGTTTATGACCAATGGCCTGAAATTTTGTGGGGTTAGGCTATTTCAGATTATCGTCATAATCTAAAGCTGAAGAAAAAGAGATTGCTCATGTTAAGTCAAATAGAAGCCTAAGATTTTATCATATGATTTTAACACCATTACTACTAGAATTTAGTTATGTTGCAAGAAAAAATACAAAAAACAAAAAACAAAAAAAACCCCCAATATTTTCCAGAACTTTCTCTAACTTGCTTCTATACATAGGCCATCCTTAATCTTGGAGATCCTTAGGAAGAAATAAAATCTGAACAGTAATCATTAACCTTGACCCGAATCTTTTTTTTTTTTTCCTTTTTGACTTTTTTACTGACCGGTAACGGGATTGCAACCCTCGGTGTCGCGCCCGTACCGGGGACTGGCAACGGGATCGCAACCCTCCGTGTTGCGCCCGCACCGCGCTCAGCCAGTGAGCGGGAACCGGTCTCCACATGGGATCCAAACCCTCGGCGGGAGCGCCACCACACTCCCAAGCGGCGCACTCTCCAGTGCGCCACCGGGCCGGCCCTGAATCTCATAAAAAGCTATATAAATCTAAGGTAGTGGTGTTATTATTATTTTTAAATTTCTAGTTTTGAGAATAGATTTAGGAACTGAACTCAGGCCAGAGAATTAGTATTCTTCCTATCCCTCATCCCTCAAACCAAGCCAAAGCAGAGAGAGAAACCTATCCCCCATTGGTCTACAATTACTTATAAATGACTCTTTAGAACAACTTGAGTTGTTAAACTTTAGGGTGATTATGGACGTAAGCAAACTCTACATAGATAGAAAGACATGGCAAAGATCTCTTGGGGCTTTGCCAAGTGTCTATAGCATTATTTTTTAACCGACAAGAATTTATATACTAACAAACTATTCAGGCCTTAAAATGAGTTAACACAATGGAAATTATCACCCACATTTTGTTAGTTCACTGAGGTAGTAGATATATGAGCCCTACGATAGGACAGAATTAAACTTACTTTTAAGGAATCATTTTAAGAATTTGGCATACATGAAAATTCCCAGATCCTGGATGTACAATCCTCAAATCAAATTAAATGGTGAAACTGCCAAACCAAAAAGCCATAGCATCCAGAAACCCATCAGTTGAATTTGTGTTCTGTTTTGTTACCTGCTAAAAAATGCATAACCATGCATCTGAAGGGAGGCATTTCCTCAAATTTCTACCATGTGGAATAAAAAGATGTTGATTACCCAGTTCCTCCTTGGATTGCCTGAGAGGCATTTTGAAGCATAAAAAAAGGAAGCTCATTTATTTTGTTGTTGAGACAAGAGCTTTTGGGGAATGTAAAATTTCTTAAACTTTTTTTCTGACTCATCAGATGGCTATCCAGTGTTCATCTTAATTCTTCAGGGATTTTCTACTGTTCCAGTTTAGATGTATTCTCTTTTCTGATCCCTTCACAAGACAGATTATAATGACATCATATTTAATATTAACCAAAAGTGAGAATCTTTATCTCCTTAAAAACAGTTTTTATTTTATTTTTTCATATTACTGGCTATTTATTTAAAGCACTATAAACATTCCAAAATTTTTGTGGCCCATTTGGAAAATATTTTCAAATAAATTATGCATCTTTTCAAGTGTATGGAGTTGGGGAAAATGTAAGCATATAATGCTTTAAAAAAGAAATGGTCACCAATGCTATTTATCATAATACATATGACTATTTAGTTTCAAAGAGAAATAATGATTCCTATGAACTCCTAAAATATTTTAAAATAATTTCTATTGCCTATTATTAAAAACATATTCTTTTTATTTTTAGGGATTAAACAATGTTATTGCTATAGACTTTGATTACAGAGATGAATTCATCTATTGGATTGATTCTAGCCGACCCAATGGTAGCCGCATAAATAGAATGTGTTTAAATGGAAGTGACGTTAAGGTAACTAGAGATTACAATAATGGCATTATTGAATATATTATATTGTTATGATTGAATAGATTAGAAGTTGTTATTTGGTGGCAATGATATTACTTGTAAAATGTATGAAGTTGGTTTCAATTTCACATGTGTATAGTTTAATACTTTATGAAATGTGAGGCTTTTTATTCTTATGTCTTATTATAACACTATTACTTGCAATAAGATAAAAATCAAATTGAGTAAATAAAATTTGGAACCTTATTCACAACCCTAGAAAATGTGGTGGATGCTTTAAGCTTGATTGATTAGTGCCTGATATTCAGTTGTGTTTGTTTAAATAAAAGGGAATGTTGAGTCTGAGAATTTGTAATTGAAAAAATTAAATGTTAGAGTGTAAATTGAACTTATAGCAGTGTTAAAATTAACCAATCACAGATGGAAATAATTGAATACATTTGTGTAAACTCATAAATGTTCTGATTAGGCCGCATCACAATTCTGTCACATGTGCGACACATATCACATTCTAGATATGAGCCACTTGGTACCATTTTTATGTTTCTGAGTTTTAAAATCAAATCATTTGCATTATATATATATGTATAATATATATATATGCAGTAAAATGTATTATAAAGAAGTTCTACATTCAAAGGAATGAAACCCATCAATTTAACTTTTTTGTAGCCACCAAAAATATCATACAGAAATTTTTGGTGGAAACAATCATTTTGGAAATATTAATGAATTCTTAAAGTATGTGTATACAATGCCGAAATGACCAGTAGGTTGTGTTCAGGTAATTCAGGATAACTGTACTTAATAATGGCTCATACAATGAAATAGTATATGATAGTAATAAGCAGATTGATTCTAGCTGACCCAGTGGCCAGATAGAACAAATAAGCAGATAATTTTTTCCATTTACAATTTATTTCTTTGACAATTTATTAAAAAACTGTGAGAAGTTTTGATCAAATTTGATCATATATTTTATTACAAGGCATTTAGAATTTTTGGTTACCTTTATTTTTTTTGAACATGCTTTAATATTTTTAAAGCATATTAAATCTTTACTGTCTTGCCACAACTATTTCATTACTACTTTAAATCATGTCATTGCATAAGGTTACAAAATGCATCTTTCCTCCCTTGGGATGACTATTTTATTTAAATAGTTAGCCATGCCTATTTTCCAAATTTGAAATATAGTCTTGCAATTTAATATAGTCGATTGATATCTTTAATTGTTGCGAGTGTTCATATTGTCAGTTTTCATTGCATCTTTATTTTAATGGCATTACAGTAAAGAATAACTTTAAAATTTCATTAGCATTTTCTTGTCTATAACTGTATAACTACTGGCTTCTATTGTTTCTTTCACATAGTCCTAAAGCACTGAGAACTCAGAAACACCAGTCACATAGATCAAGAATTGTTGGTCATTTTATATGCATCGTATTTGTACATACAAAGCCTATATCCTTATTATATTTAGTATTGACATGAGTTAGAATTGAAAACAACAGTTTTATGAGTCTATTTTTTCTTCCCTTTGGCTATGTTTAAAATACTTAGTGCGTGCATGTTCTCCTTTGGGTTTTCTTTTCTTGTGGTCATTTAAATAGGGCAGTTGGGAGACTGGTGTGTGGTATTGGTATCTCCCGAGAGCCTGTTCTGTATCTCTGTAAAAATCAAGAAGCAATCGCTTAGTTCTTATACTAGGCATTTTCCCTGTTAACTTTTTTAATTCTTATTTCGTTAGGTAGTGCACAACACAGCTGTCCCCAATGCACTTGCTGTGGATTGGATTGGAAAAAACCTCTATTGGTCTGACACAGAAAAAAGGATTATCGAAGTATCCAAACTCAATGGCTTGTACCCTACTATACTCGTTAGCAAAAGGCTGAAGTTTCCCAGGGACTTGTCTTTAGATCCTCAAGCTGGGTTAGTAACAAACATTAAAAATCTTAAAGTAAAGAATAAGAATGTGGAAAATTTAGTTCTGTAGATCATTAACATGAAAATTCAATGTAAAGTGTAAATGTGTAAAAATTCTTACTGAGAATTCAAAAACAGTAATACATCAAAAGAAATGAAATGATTGAATTTTACGGCAACTTTTTTTTTAAGGCTTGAATGCAACTCCTTTTCTAATGAATCAATATACTTATTGTGGAGTAAAACTTTGCTAATTTTAATGCCTTTAAATCTTGGAGGAAAGGCAGACTGAAAACAAACTTTTGGGTTATGTTTTGCAGTGTTTATGATAGTCACAAATATGGATAATGCAATTCCTGCACCACTTTTTATCAGGAGACATAAGCAGTACCATGAGTAATAAATGACAAGGTGTATTATCAAATGCGTTCAAGGGGAAAAGCTAAGCAGGAATATTGGGAAAGGTCCATGTTAGAGCTATGTTTCATTTGCATTTCATTGTGAGAATGGGGAAAAGTCATCGTACAGCTCAAGGACAACAGGCTGGAGATTTCAGTTGGGGGATAAACACATTAAGGTGTCAAAGCTGTCTGGTGTTTGTTAAAGTTCTACAGCTTATGACCATTATTATTCACTTTCAATTACGTTGTTTTGGTAGGTAGAGAATGTATGCCTTTCCTTTTGTCTTTTTGACACTATAATTTAGAGTGATTACATACTCCAAAATTCTCCCTATAAAAGTTAAACCTACCCAAAACACATGTTAAAATAACAAATTTAGAGAAAGTTTAATGTTTTAAAATAGGACACATTTACAGTAGCAAGTATTAGGATAACTGTACAGTTCTAATTTTTCTATCAAAATTAATTTCACATAGTATATTTCACTAAATCACTGCTTTTATCATACCATATGCAACAATTGGATTTTGCCTCTTGCTAATATATTGTATCTGTTTTTTAGTTCCTCATGTTTATAATTGGCAAAGTGATCATGTCAAAGTATGTTTTATAGCTTAATTTTAAACATTAATTTGGGCAAAAGCGGTACCTAATAGAAGACTTGTAGTGTGAATTCATTTTTGTTTCCAAGGTAATGTGAACATTTCAACTTTTCACTATATAATTCTGTGATCATTTTGTTACCTTTTTGAATATTTTCTTTATCACAGCAACAGAAGTTTCAAAAGAGTGTCAATTTTATTTTAACTAAAACAGAGTCACAAGAGAGTCTGTTTCTATGGAAGTTTCAAGAAATAATGGCCAGATTTCCTAAATATATGAATATTTTAATTCCTTTGATATTTTATCAGATAATGTTTTTGAGTGTCTAAACCATCATCTTTTTCTTCAAAATCAGTATTCTGGCTTAGCTTTTCATTTCATACTATTCAAGATGCTTCACTTTCTAATGAAAGAAACATCACCCATTTGATAATAGCAGTGTTAAGGAATTTTCTATTTCTGAAGCAATAATTGTACTATAGCCAGTGAACAGCTGAATCTAGGTTTAGATTTTATTTCTCCTGGGTTACAGTTATTACCCCATAAACTGAAAGCAGCCTTAAGTTGTTATCAACATAAACTCATCCATTGAAAGTGTCAATTAAAACAGTAAAGTACGAGATTATTGTAGATTTTATAAAAGACTCCCTCCCTTGATTTCATTTTTAGATAATATTTGGATTATGATATGGATGTGACATATTATAATGAAAGAAACAGATAAAATTGGATTTTTTTATGAAATAATTAAAGCCACCTACTTTAATAGATAAAATTTAATGGCACCTTTTTGTTCATGCTGTTTTCCTCATTCCCCAAAGCGAGAAAATAGGCAACCTGGATTTTAGCTTTTATGAAATGAGCTTTAAGCTGAAAATGTCATAACTGTATAAAATATTGTACAAGCCTGCTTTAAAAATGACAGCTTTAACTGTAAGATTATTTAACAAAAATACAACTGAACCTTTTTACATCAGATTACCACTGTGATTTGCATATGTTTCAAATATGCCAGTAGTACTGACCCCTGTTTCCTTGAGAAGTATGGTTTCTGTCTTGATATTTAATAAGGGATAAGGCAGGGATTTGTTTAAGGACGAATAAGAATCACTGGCCTGTGTAATACAATGAAACAACTAAACTTTTAGGAAGGATATTGGGGGCCTTTCTATAGTTTAATAATAGTATGCCAATTATCACAATATCACTTTGAATATGACAGTTAGTAGGAATGGTAAAAAAGATACTAGTAGACAGAGCATCCTCCTGGTTATTGCATTTAAATTCAATTGAAATTCTAATTTTTCTCCCAATTTTATGTTAATTATTCTGTCCTCTTGTCTAGATTGGGAATGAGTGTTCTAATTTATCACAAATTTTGGGTAATTGAAATCATATGCATTCAATATTTATAAAGATTATTATTTATGCAGGATTCGTATAAGCATTTTAAAATACAATAGAAAATATAACTAAAGTTAAAATTGTGCTAAACATAATTTTATCTTTTTGGATAATTAAGATGTCAACTCATGTTATCATAACAAAACGTCATTATGATAGATATTCAAGTGAATGTGTGATATGTCTGGTTAACAGAAAATAAATGTATCTACTCATTCATTTATTCCACTCATATTTCTTTAGCATTTTGTGCATATCTGGCACCGTTCTAGGTAGAAATAAGTATAAAATAAAGGCACGGTTCTTTTCTGCAAGTATTTTGCAGTCCAGTAGGTAGGCAGGTGAGTAAATAGTTATGATGCAAAAATAAATGTATCTACTCATTCATTTATTCCACTCATATTTCTTTAGCATTTTGTGCATATCTGGCACCATTCTAGGTAGAAATAAGTATAAAATAAAGGCACAGTTCTTTTCTGCAAGTATTTTGCAGTCCAGTAGGTAGGCAGGTGAGTAAATAGTTATGATGCAATGCAATAACTCATAAAAAAGAGAAAATAGAAAATGTGTCTGTCTCAACTGGGATCAGAGAAAGCTTCCTGGGAAAGAATGATAAAGTAAGAAGTAGCCAGGTGGTGCGGTGCACTTTGGAGCAGGAGATATTTCCAGCAAAAAAGAACGGGCTCTGTGGGAAAGCACTGACACGGAAGAGTATGGCACAGCTGATGCATTGCAAGGAACTCATATGATTGGAACAAATTAAGCATATGTGATGTCCCCAGAATATGGAAAATACAGGAAAAGAGGCAGATACAAGAAAGGGAAATGATCAGCTTGTAGACCTATTGGGATTGGGAGTTGTGACATAATAATAATGATAATGATGATAACTACCATTTATATAGCATTTTGTGAATTAGAAAATTTTTAGTTTTATCACTTTAGATGCATATATTGTTTACCCATAGTCTCTTAGAAAGACAATGATTATTTTTATTACTTTCTTTATAGTATGAATAAAAACATTCAACCTCAAACTGCCAAAATGACTTTCTCAGAATCATTTAGGTGGTGTGATATTAAACTGAGATTTAACCCAGTTTTCAGGCTTCGGCCCCATATTTTTTCTATTACATAACATTAGAATTTCTAGTAACAAAATGATCTTGGTTTGTGAGCATGTTTTACAAGAACTATCCAAACAAAGATAAGAAGGAAAGAACCCCAAATCCTTTACTTTTTTCCATTTTAGCAATTAACCTTTTATAAAAACTTAAAATTAGTATAGGTAATATGAGTTTGTTTTGGAAATAAAGAAAACTGCCTGAATTATTATAAGAATGCCTTATTTTTAAAGCTACATTTTCATTTAGTTTTCTTTTCTAATAGTCTTTTAGCAAATCATAAGAAAATAATAGTAGATGCTATTTTGAATTTGAAATATATGTTAATGGAAATATGTGAAAGTTTATAAACTTAGTATCTGAATCCATTATTGCCAATATGGATAATTATAATGTAAATAAATTTGGAAAAACATATTTTATGCTTCGTAACTTAGCTTATGCTATTCCTTACTCCAAGAATGTCCTTTGGCTTTTTCTCCAGTTCGAATCACTAATTTTTCCAAGAGCAGCAGAAACATCACTTTCTTTGTGAAATATTCCATAATTGTTTCTACACGGTCACATTATGTTCAACACTTAACATTATATGGCTATTTTTAATGTAAATATCACTTCATCTAGAAAATGAGTACATATAACACAAGAGCTGCGTCTTAATCATTGTTTTTTCCTAATACAGAGACGGTTAAATTCACTGTTGAAGAAATTAATAGATTCATAATTGGATATACACAGAGACTGAGGTTATAGCTGCAGGGCCATTGTACGCACACCTATGCACAAACCAATGCATTGGTATGTAAATAACCTGCATGTTTTAAAGAGAAGAGTCATAAAGGAACTTCTGCTGTAAGGGAATGAAAGGCATACTGGGATGAAAATCAGTTTCTGATTTCTGTGGAAAACAGAAAAGTTTCATTAAACTGTACAGTCACATAAGAAAACCTTTTTTCTTACCAATTTTTAAATCTATTCAAATAGCTGATTTCAGTATTCCTACATTTAGGCAAAACTCACTGGGAATGAATATAAATTATTAATTTTATAATTCAAAATCAGAATTAATTACAGATGGAAGAATCTCTTTTACTTTTATTACCTGAATTCAGATAAAAAGTAAAAGCTGTGAGAAGACTTCTACTTAAGTCATTTTAAAGAAGTATAGTGTATTATATTCAAATATTAAAAAAAAAAACCTGAGAATCACAGACGCCTATTGTAGTAACAAGCAGACTTTTTCAAATATGTTTACACAAGGTTATAATTTACCGAATAGGTACTATTTGCGGCTGAGATTTTTCATATGTGATCCTGAGTAAACATGCCATATTATATGGGTACAATTTAGAATTCTTCTTTTGACATTTTCACTGAAGTTTTCATTTTCAGTTTTAATTATTCACAACAAATTTTGCACATAGGTAATTTTTCAGGGGATTGTATTACAGACATTAAAATTACCATTATGTT